GCTTCCTTGCTAACACCCTCTTAAAAAGTGTCTGTGCTTTGAGAAATGTACAATCTTGCTAACTTTTGGAACTTATCATCTCTCATCATTGTTGACTGTCTACGCTCCTGAATGACACATTGTTAAAGTGTCTGAAGGGTGAAGGGAGAAGAGGAGGTTATGTTTAATAAGATGTGTCAAAGTCCATGATCTCCCTCTGGTAAGAAGATTTTTTATTCAAAATTTGTGATATGACTTGACATTCAGTCTGGCAAACAGAAGTGGTAAGTAAAGCAAAGAAGCCCAAGTGCTACGAGACTGTTAGAAAACAATGAGAAATCAACATGCTGTCAATTCCAACTCATATGGCCACTACCATTTCCTGGGCTCGGCTCTGGTAGGTTAATGAGAAGCAGCTGCGCTGCAATCCCGAAGGCAGATGTTTCTAATCCACCAGCTGTTCTGCAGGAGAAGAGCAGCCATCTCCTCCTGTGCAATGAACTGCCTCTGAAAACCTGCCCAAGGGTCAGCTACTGATCAGTTCTGACTCGAAGGTACACGACAATAACCTTTACAGAAGCTGATGTCTTTAATCCTAGAATTAGGAGGGAACTATAGAAATAGGAGGGAACTGCCTAAGCACTTCACCATCTCACTAATTTTGTTGTCACATATTGTTAGACCAACACACAGCTGACCCTTCAGTGGGCTTTCAGAGGCAGTCTATCACATAGGAGCAGACTGCATTTTTCTCCTGAGAAGCAGCTGATGGATTCAAACTATGTCCGACTAGAGCTCCCTATAAGACGGCAGCTTGTAAATAAGCAGGGGAAAAAGCTAAATCTCTTAACACTTATATTAAGAACACTACATACTATTACATGTGTTAAGAACAGTACACATTTTCACATTATTGTTAAAAAAGTTATTTCATCTCTTGTGTCCATTAATCTGTTCTGACTCCAGTTTTTAGCTTTTAAATTCCTCACCTAAGACAATAGGCTTTCCTCACTTCAGTCTGCAACCTTGAGTAATTATCAAATTTCCGTACTCTTACCTATTTTCTTTCTTCATTGCACTAAATTAATTCTCAGCTCGCACCACTAAGTCAGAACTGACGAATAGCTGACCCTCTGGCAGCTTTTTGGGAGGCTGTAAATTATCTGCAAGAGAGGAGACTGCTCATCTTTCTCCAAAGAACTTCTGGTAGATTCAAATCACCAGAGGTATGCCTTTGGATTAGCAGAGCAATGCCACCAGAGCTTGTTCACTAAATGAGTATCTGATATTTCCATATACTTTATTTTAGTCAGAATTATCTTTACTTTGTAGATTTTACCTCTCCGTCGCTGTGTACTGTTGAGTTGGAACCAACTGACAGGTGACACTCGGTGGGTTTTCAGGAGCAGTAGATCCTATGTGAAGAGCCTGTCCATCTTTCTCCTGTAGAGCAGTCGGTAGATTAGAACCATGTGCTTCTGGACTGGCAGCACAACGCCTCACTGCTAAGCTACCCGAGCTCTCTCTACCTTTCAAGGGTTTCATTTTCCCCTTTTCTTCTTTGTCAAATTATTGGGTTGCTTTTAGATTTATGTTCTTCAGAAAAATCTAAGACATAGTTTCACATATTTAAAAAAAATATTATGTCTCTAGGTGGTTAAAATACTTGGCCGCTAACTAAAAGGTTGGAGGTTTGAGTACTGATGATCTACATCTGAAAGACCAGACACTGAAAACTCTTACGAACACACAGTACTCTCGATACATATGTGCTCCTCATGAATTGGAACTGAACACAGAACTGAGTATGAGTAATAGGCAGAATATTCAACAGATTGCACTCCTAAATCTGTAGTGTTTTTACCTTTTTTTTTTTTTATCCTTAATCTCATACGTTAAAACTCCCCTTTAGGTAAACAGCCAAGGTCTATTTTCAATGACTTGAAGAAGGTATTCAGTTGCATTAGACAATGATTAGTTCCTAACAAGGATGATCAAACATCACCTCACACACTTTGGGCACACCCTCAGGAGGTGCCAGTTCTTAGAGACAAGGTATCATGTGTAGCAAGTCAATGAAAAAGATGAAGACCTCACAGAGACGGACTCAGTGACTAAAAATGTGCTTGACTATGGCAAAACTATGAAGATAGTGGTGCTCAAAGCCATTTGTTGTTCATATTTGCCATGATGACTCAACATAGTTGCAGGTGACTTGACAACACCTAACAACATTTAATACTACAATTCTATTCTTTCATTAATCTTGTTGTCCTGTCATGAAGGCGTTCTCTTAAGTAGAGTCTTAGAGAGACTTGAAGTGCTAGCCAAAGCCCACATCTTACTGGAGAATTGACTCCAACGGGCTTCTGAAACTCACTTGTGGGTCAGCTAGGAGTCCATTCCCTCTCCATGCTAGTGAGTTCTACCCTAGCATGGAATTTTTTTTCACTGTCACCACAGCTTACTTACCTCTATTCATACCTCCCCATGAGGTTTTTGTATTAATAATGCTTTCCATGAAAGACCCTCTATTCCAGCATTTCTTTCAAAACCTGTCCTTTTGTACACTTAGAATTCAAAAAGAATTTTTATATTTGAGTACAAGTACAGCCAAGTTTCTGAACTGTGAGCTTAGATTTCTCTGGTATAAAATTATTTCAAGATTTCCTCAAGGTTTTGTATTTTACAGTTCTAAGCATCCTATGCACAAAATAGATAAGGGACAGAGTACTGACTCTCTCCAGCCAACACACCCCTTCAATTGAGGGAATTCCTCAAGAACTCTACTTTCTCTCAGCTAATCCCCAGTAACCAGTCAGAAGCAGTTAGTAATACACCAGCAGAGTTTATTTCTAATGCTATTTCCTGTGCCCTAAAGGCATCATTGTCTCCTTGTCAATCAATTAATCAAAAGTTTTTCATTCTTAATTTAGTTTTTTCCAGTCTACAGTATCTGCTTCTCCCATGAAACAGTCAAGGCTAACAAAGATCTCTTAACCAAATCTGGAAAGCAAATGCTTTTCTTTCTAGTGTATTTTCATGCCCATACTATAGTTTACAGTTCATAGGAAACTGCTTCAGGACCAAGAGCTGCCAATACTTTGAAGTTCATTATACTTAAATTATTAAGGAGAAGCAGGGGGAGAAGTAAGATAACATGCTATAAGGTTAACTTGCTTGGAGCAATAGACATTTCTTATTTAGTTAATATTTCCCAATAGGGAGCTCTGGGGGGAGGAGTTTCATGCCAAGCCAAAAGCAGGTGGTTTGAATCCACCAGCTGCTCTGCAGGAGGAAGATGGGTAATCTCTTCCCAAGTGATTTACAGCCTCTAAAACCCTGCAGGAGGGTCAGCTATGAGTTGAATCCCAGGCAAGGATGTGACAAAGACTTGATAATATAAGATTGTGCTGCCTGGTGTCAGGGAAAAGTTGCATTTAAAATCAGCTTATGCAAATCTCACCAGAGGAAATAAACACCCTAATCAACCTTTTGCATATCAAAAGGGGAAGGAGGAAGAATCTGCCCCACAGCAGGAAATGACCCCTCAAATTCACTGTATATCTTCGAGTAGTGTTTGTTGGTTCATTGTTTTAAATGTACCTGAACAGTGTCACACATAAAGCAGTATGACACAAATGTTTTCTGTTAAAGATCACAACGGGCTAAAGTAAAATGGAGAATTTGAGATTAGAGAAAAGGAAACGGGGAGAAATAGCATGCAAAACTGAGAAACTAAATTGTGATAGACAGTGATTTTATTTATGAAGATAAACTTTATTTAGTACGGGAGGATTCTGGGACAAGTATTTCACATAAATAGATAAAAGTCATCCATAACAGTGTCAAATCCCAGACTTTGCGTAAAGTGATTGTTGAGCAGCGTCAATAGCAACTTTGGAAAAAATTCTGGTCTACTTTGTGCTACATTTTTTTATTCAAAACCAAAAACCCCAACCGATGCGAAGAGAAACCACCTAGAACTGCGGACTGGGATCGGTCAGGACTAGCTGGCCAGGTCGTGCTTGGCTTTGACTTCGGGATGAAATGTCCACGAGGAGCCCAGGAACCACCCATCACGTCCCACACCCAAGGACCAAGGCAGCAGCAGCAGCGATGGTGGCCCGGATCCGAACCCGCGCAAGCGGGAGTGGCCGCCACGCTGCAGCCGTGGGAGGCCGGCGAGGCTGCCCCCCTGGGGGCCGGGGCGCAGCGTGCAGACAGCGCGGTGGGAAGCCGCGCGCCCGAGCCTGGGAAAGCGCCGGGGGCGGGCCGTGCTCGGGGGCGCCCGCGCGGGACGCCCTGTCATGAGTCACGAAGGCGAGGAGGCGGGGCGGGCGCAGAGGCTGCAGCAGCAGCAGCAGCGAGCCGAGCCCGACCCTCGCGGGGAACCCAGCGGCGCCCAGGCCCCGACCTCCTGCGGGGCGGGGACAGCGG